TGAGTACTCGGTTACCACAGCCCTGCAGACGAGAGCCACCCTGGCAGATGAGAGCCGCCCTGACAAACGGCCACATCAGATCAAGGCAGCTGAGAAGTGCGGGGGGTCGGGGGGGGGGGGGGGAGGGCAGTTGGAGCTGCTCCTCTCACCCAGAGGAGGAAACAGGAAGCGCACCTGCACAGGGAGAAGCAACCCCTGACCGTCCTAACTCTGATCTCCTGGCAGGCAGCCCCGCGTCACGTCCCGGACGGAAGCTCAGCCACACTTCCCTCCCGGCTCTGAGAGGGGAGAGCGACGGCAGCAGCGCCTTTCCAGGACAACTGATGTTTGTACGATACTTTCTTGGTATCCTCTGCTTTCATACAGTTTCTTCCTGATTTTTCAAAACCATCCAGAAATCTAGGTAATGCCCTCCAATTTTGCAGGTCAGGAGTCCCAGGGAGGGAAGTGATTTACCCCAAAGGAACACAGTTTGTAAGTAGCCAGGTCAGGACAGGAATCAAGACCTTTCAACTTCAGAGCCTATTCTCTGTCCTTGACGTGAAGCTGGGTCTCCATTGCCCAGAAACCCCAGCTCCCAGGATCAGTGACTGAGCATAAAAGACAGAGACTCAGAATCCAATAGCCACAGAGCCAAGGGCTTGTCAGGGATGCTGGGGCAGGCCGAGGCAAGATCCTGGAAGGATTGTGAAGTGCTCAGTCCCTGGAACTGCAGCTGCGTCATTATCCGCCAGCCTCAAGGGGACAAGGACTCTGGAACCGCCTCGCGCCTCAGAAATAACGCCCATGAGGAACTGTCACTCGGGGGGGAAAGAAGAGTTAGGCGAGGGGGACAGTGTGTTGGACCCACAGGTCACGGGCTGCCCTGAGAGGCCTTTTCTTGCTCTGCACAGCGAATCAGGCTTTTCAAATGCAGCTCAGGAGCTCTAGATAAAGCCTCTGACGTGGAACGGTAGGAGAACGGGGAAAGGTATTAGGCGAGAAGCGGGACCAGCTCTCAACAAGGCTGCGAGGTGGCTGACGAATGTACCGTTAGACTCAGATTTCACAAACCAGCGATATTTAAGTATATATATATATATATATATATATATATATATATATATATGTAAACTGTTTCTTTTGTTTCTTCTCTCTCTCTCTTTTTTCTTTTTGAATCTGCTTCATGTCAATATCCCAGTGCCCAGCATGGTGCCTGGTCCAGGCAACTGGTACAGAGAAGGTGCTGCATGCTATTTGCTGGATGTATCTGAATGAGGGAAGAGCCAATTGAGGCTAACAGGGCGAGACAGTGGCAAAGGCTGCCACCCAAAAGCTGAGCCTTCTGGCGAAGTGAACTGGAGCCTCTGAGACTTTGCCACATCCCCTGGGCATGTGTACCCAACTGTTCACCCCCATCAGTTGCCCAGACCTCTAACCAAGGCTGCTAACCTGGCCAACCATGCCTCCTGCCCTGGAGCCTTTCCCCAAAGCCCTCTGCACCCTCCTCCTCTCAATTTAGAGCATTCTTCTCTCTGCTGCCAGGTGGCTTGTAACAATGGGGATTAAAGGGGTCCCTCGGTAATGAGCAGTTCAACTGGGGACTCTCCAGACACTTGCTTCCCTAGAGGGATGGAGAGGGGCGGGTGGCCAATAGGAGGCAGTTTCAATTAATCAATTAAACAATTAATTAATTAAACAAACATCATTGGTTGCCCATGCCGCTGGGGCCCTACAAAGATGACGGACAGGTGTAGGGGGGAGTCTTAGCTCTTCCAAAGCTGCTAGTCCCCGAGGATAAAATGGGCTCTCCTAAATCGAGCTGTGTGCCAGGCACACACGTGGCACAAACAAGGAGCCACGTCTGAGAACAAAAAGTCACTTGTGGATTGAAAATTTGATAAACAGCCAGAGAAGGATTAGCCTCTGAGCCAGACCCTGAAGGAAAGGGACAAACCACTGACAGGCAGAGATGGGGTAGGGCTGGGCCTGCTACCCATGCCCCTCTGTCCCCCACCAACCAGAAGGGTCTGCCTGTTCCTCTCACTGCCACAGGAATAAAGAGCAGCAGCTCCCAGTTAATCAAAGCTTCCTAGCCCAGCAGCCACCCTCTCCTGGGGTGTGTTTATATCTACACGGGGTCATTGGTGGTTCAGACCAGGGACCTGGGGAAGCTGTGTCCTCTCCTTGTCCTTGGTCTGAAGACAAATCATTAGACCCTTCTGGGCCTCCCCTCTGCCTGACACGGTTTTTGAGGCCCAAAGGAAATGCTGGGGGAGGCACTGTGGTAAGCAGTGAGGAGCTAGGTAGTTGGTATCCTTGAGTGCGGGGCTCAGGAATGCAGGGGCCAAGGGTCAGTCTTCAAGGTGGGTGGCCAGTAGGTTTTCCTCTGCTCCTGGAGCACAGGCAATACTCTCTAAACCTACTCAGTAGACTCAAAAATGGATGCCGTTGGTCAGAAGGGAGCTGGGGCGCAAAGATGGGTGGATGCTTGGTGCAATTCCACCCTTCTTGCTGCATTCAGACATGCTTGTAGACAGGCCTTCAGCATCAAAGGTCCTTCCCTAACCCGGTTCAGGGGCTGGGTCAGTGCCCCTCCTGCCACGCCCTCTGTTAAGCACCCATCATTCTGTATTAAAATGATGGTTTGTTAGACTATTAGGCCATTTAAGAGCAGAGGTGTGTTTTATATGTCTGTTTTCTACTGAAGTGCTTAGCACATAGTAAACCTCGAAATATTTGTCCAATGACCAAATGCACTATTCTTCCAAATCGCAGTTATTTGGTCCTCTCACTCTGCCCTTGTAAATGAGAACCAGCCGTTTCCTTGTCTACACACGGTCTTGATTTAAGTCCAGTCCCCCCTGCCCCCACCCTGCAGTTACAGTGGTCACAGCCGCCCAAGCGGCAGCAACCTCCCCTGGTCCTCTCTGCCAGCGTGGGAGAGGCCACGGACTCACTTCTGGGTCCCTGAAAGCACGTTTTCCGCCTGTACTTTAAGCAAAGTACATCGAAAATCTCTCTCTCCTGAGTCTCTTAAGGAGAAACTGCCCATTCCAGTTTCCTTCTCTCTCTCCTTTCAACTCTGCAATTTACGTTCCTTGGGAAGCCCTCCCAGATTAGGCATATCCAGCCTCAAAAACTGTTTTCCTTCCAGCACATCCCCCAGCACTTGAGTTAACTCTTGGAGGGCAAAGGCCACCTTATATCCTCCTATGGCTAGTGCCTGGCACACGGTAGGCACTCAGGAAATAATTACTGGTTTAATACGTATGCATTGGATCGGTTCACAGTTGTTAAAGTTTCTGTTGTTAAATATTTAAAGAGTTTAGAACACTCCACTACATAGGAGATTCCTGACATCCCATATGGGACTAGAAGTTCTAGTGGGCAGGGCCCTGTCTCCCCCTTCTTGTAACAGGGGTTCACAACCTGCAGTCCAGGTTGTGACCAGGTTAGTTCCATTCCAGCTCCTTTGTTTAGTCTGTTGCACCATCAACCAACAGCACGGCAGTTAAGAAGGACTTTGGTGTTTGAACACTGGCTCAGCAAGTGACTTAACTGTTCTGAGTCCAAACATAAGGAAAATACCCATCTTACTCCGTAGTTGTGAAAAGCAAAAGAAAAAATGCAGGTGAATCATTAGCACAGTGGCTGGCACATATTAAGGATGCATAAATCAAGGCTTGTTAGTATTACAGCATGAGCCCTGACCCCTGACCCCAGCTGCACCCTGCTGCACAGTATTGTCACCCACATCCTTTCTCCTCCTCTGTCCAAACTTGTCTTTCTCTTTTGCAGAATGCAATATACAAAGAACGCTCAGGGAGACAAGCTGGAATTCTTTAGAGAGGGAAGGTGGAAACATGGACAGTGAAAAGTTAACCCTTCCTTCTGGCAGCCAATCTAGCCAACTACCTGTATCGCGCCTTCCAGGAAGAGGAGGCCCACCACTGGTCTTTCTAGGCTCGTTCAGCCACTCCTGCTGTATATTCTGAACTGGGCACCGAAGGCTGCTGATCCTTCTTAACAAATCTCAATGTAGGGGAACCAGACTTAGCAAATAAAAATACAGAATGTCCCCATTAACTTTGAATTTCACAGAAACAGTGAATGACTTTTTAGCATCATATGTCCCAATGCAATATTTGGGTCATACTGAATAATACTAAATATTTTCTTGTTGTTTATCTGGAATTCAAACTTAACAGGACATCTTATATTTTATCTGGAAGCCCTACCCAGGTACCCCTACCCAAGGGCACAGAGTAAATCTTCCCCCTGCCCTACGAACTACTGGCCTCACCAGTATTAGAATACCAGCCACTCTGGAAACATCACCTCCTTTCAATCCCCAGGTAGAGTAGAGGCCGTAAGTGCAAGCCTCTTCTTGACCTGCTAAGTCCAGGGATCTGCCTTGTCAAAGCACCCAGCACAGAGTCAGGTATGTAGTAGGTGCTCAAAATACATCCCTTAATTCATCCTAGACTGCGTGAGCTCTAACACTGGGCCCAGAGCCGAAGTGAATGTCAGGGGCCAGGGGCCAGGCCAGCCTTGACTCTGGGGGACCTTCTAAGAGCAGCGTGGCTTGGGGTGGGAGGCCACACCACACTTCCTGGGGTTGCCTGAGGATCAAATGAGAAAATGGCCAGGGATATGTTTTGTAAATCCCTGGGCAGCACATAGGTTATTATCAAGACCTTTGAGTGGCCCATTTTACCAAAGGACTCCACAGCCCACACTCTTCCCTAGGGAGAGTAACCAGACAGGGAAACAGAAGCACAGAGCAGAGGAAAGCCAGCGCCTCTGGACACTGTAATGTTGATGACAAGGAACTGTCCCAACACCTTGTAATTTGCCAAACACGTTCACATCCACGCTCTCCAGAGGACTCAACAGCCCCACGTCGGAAGGGAGGGTTCTGGGCCCATTTTCCAGAGGGTGGAAAGGGCGGCCAGGCCCAGGCCTTGCCTCGGAGGTGGCACCGGGTCCAAGGGGCCAGGCGTGGGGGCGTGGCCTACCTTCTGGGCCTGTTGGATCATCTGCCGGACCACCTGCTTCAGGTGGGGCGCCTTCTCCTTAGGAGGGTGAGTGAAGAGGGTGACGCGGCTCACGCCGCGGTAGAAGGCTGCTTCGGTCCAGCCCAGCTCCAGCGGGGGCACCTCGGTGTCGGAGCGGTCGGGCCAGTAGGCCAGGGACTCGCCGGGCTCGGCCGCGGCCTGCGTCGGGGTCTCGGCCTCGGCCTTGCTCTTGCCCCGGGCGGCGGCGGCGACTTCTTCGTAGGGGCTCCAGGCGGCGCTGAGGGCCTGACGCTCCTGGCTGGAGAGGAAGTCCCGCAGCTGCTCCTCCTTGACCCGCTTGCGGTAGGCCTGCTCGCCGCCGCCCAGCAGCGCCTCGAGCGCGGCCCGCCGCCGCTCGCAGTAGTAGAAGGCTGCCTGCGCCGCGGTCACCCTCTCGTTCACGTGCGCCTCGTCCAGGCAGCCGAGCTGGGACTCGGCCATGGCGCCCCAGCCCCGGCCCCGGCCCCGGCCCAGGTCCTACCGCCGCACCTGAAGCCGCCGAGGGGCGGGGCGCCTCACCTGGACGAGAGGGCGGCCAATCGGCGCGGGCGCGGCCGTCGGGCGGGGAGGGGCAGCTGCGCCTCCGCCTCTGCGGGGCGCGAGCGGCGCAGACGGCCTCGGGGGCTCGGCTGGGGACGAGACGACGCCTAGGCCTTCGTGGCCCAGCCCGGGGCGGGAGTCCCGGAGTGGGCCGGAGCTTGGAGCCGGGCCGTAGTTAGACCCACTTGCGGCCTCTGGCCCGCTTTCGTCTCCTGGCCCCGACCCTTCGGTGGGGGAAAGGTTGGGGACCTAACCCTTCCTGTTGCCGGGCGGCCAGACACGTCCCAGCGCGTCCATTTTCCCCGCTGTTAGGGCCCCGAGCACGTGGTTTGGCCAGGGTGCTTCTGGGGTGACCGATCTGACCACTCCTCGGTTGTGGGTCCGGGGGCCCTCTGCTAGGGCAGATTGTGACGGCCTAGCAGGGGCGGTTGGTGTGCAAAAGCGAAATGCTAATAAAACTCCCAGTTCCTGGACCACGTCCACGTGTCCCAGTCTGAGATCAGAGGCCCCTCCAGGGGCTGTCAATCCAACACTTTCACCAGGACAAAAATTTCTTTAAAAAAAAAAAAAAGCCACCCAGATACAGCAAGGATGTAAGCAGCAGCAGTGGAATTTTTTCCCCCATTTTAATTTGAAGTGGTTTGTGTGTGTGTGGGGGGGGGGGCAAGATAGGCTGCCAGAGGCCTGATTACTATATTAGTGATTTAAAATATATGTTTGAGCTCAAGGGAGGAAGACACACACACACACACACACACACACACACATCACCAGCAGCAGCTCTGCTGTTTCCCATTGGATCAAGTACAATCTTCTTAGTCATTAACATATTATTTTGTTCATGCACTGCTGTACAATTTGATTCTCCACATTCAAAATATTTTCTGATCATAGCAACCAAAGGTTCACATTTCTCTCATTTTATAGCACAGCATCTTAGAGCTGGAAGGAGCTTTAGAAACTAATTTAACCCCCTAGAAACATGTGGTTTGCCCAGGTCTCCCTGTAAAGGAGAGGCAACACAGGGGACTATTAGGTTCTCTGCGTCTGGGAGATCCTTGCCCTGCACCACGGCCACCTTTGCCCTTTCTACTTCTCTTGTGAAATGACAGAAGGTTACTGGGGACATGGTTTTAACCCTGGGGACTTAGAAGAGATCACCTAATATTTCTGGGTCTTCCTTTGATGGCCTGGAAAAATGAGGGTTAGATTTTCAAATATCTGCAAATTTTGTGACAGTAGTCAATTCTGGCATCCTGTGTCAGGTCAGGGATGGTGAGCAGAGAGGTGTCCATCATCTCACTTGTGTCCTCTGCTATTCTTGGGGATTGGAAGGCCTCACTCCTAGTAACACTCTAAGTATAGACAAATTTCATCTTTAGATGGGAGAGCATTTAGTTAGTTTTCCGATGACTTGATGCCCTATAAGATGCCAAACTCTAAGCCCTGAGTATACAGAGGAGCTCAGAGCAGTGGGAGGAATAGAAAAACAAACACACAGGAGAATAACACAGGTGTGATGAAAATGCTGTTAATAAACTCAATCAGCAATGCATTGGGAGTAAACATTTACTCAATGCCTACTATGTGCCTGGCACACAGTATGTACTTAGTACGATTTCTTTAAAAAAGAATGAATTAGGGCCAAGAAAAGGGTAGGTGCAAGGAGCTGTGGGCACTTTGAGGGAAGAAGAAATTAATCTGACTAGTGGGGTGTAGATAAGAAGGTCTTCACCTAGCAGGAAGGGGTCTTAAGTGGAGCCTAAAAGGAGGAGAAAACGTCAAGGGGGAGAGAGGGAGTGAAGACATTCCAGGCAGAGGAAGTTGGGATCGGGTGTGGTCAGAACATCATGCTGGCATAAGGCACATGTGGGTTCAGCTCAAGATACTCAACCCTCAGAGCCTTAAGTATCCTCATCTACAAAATGGGATAACAACGCTGACCACCCCGCCACCCTGGGACCTCCCAGATTGTTGTAGGGATTAAATAAGATCACATGTTTGATTTAATTAGCAGTTGTGTCTGACTGATGGAAAGTAGTTTACAGCAGAGTACTTCTCAAACTTTACTGTGCCCAGTAGTAACCTGGGGGCATCTTGCTAAAACGCAGATCCTGATTCAGTTGGTCTGAGGTAAGGCCCAAGAGTCTGCATTTCTAGGAAGCTCCCAGGTGACGTTCGTAATGCTGGTCCATAGACCAGTCGGCATAGCAAGGATTTTAGAAGCCAGTGAATAAGAGCGTGAACTTTCATGTCAGAGAGTCCTGGAATGGAATCCCACTTTCTTGGTGTAAGCTGTGTGTCCCTGGGAAAGTTACTTCTCCTTTCTGAGCCTTGGCCACATCATTAATGACATATGGGCAATAATAAGTCCTACCTAATAGAGCTGTGCGAGAAGGGAAACAAATTAATGGATATACACCACTTAGTGGAGTGTCTGGCACAGCATAGTAGCCTGTAAAGAGTAGTTAGTGTTAAAGTGTGGGAAGATGGGGCTTCCCTGATGGCGCAGTGGTTGAGAGTCCGCCTGCCGATGCAGGGGACACGGGTTCGTGCCCCGGTCCGGGAAGATCCCACGTGCCATGGAGCGGCTGGGCCCGTGAGCCATGGCCGCTGAGCCTGTGCATCTGGAGCCTGTGCTCCGCAACGGGAGAGGCCACTGCAGTGAGAGGCCCGCGTTCCACAAAAAAAAAAAAAAAAAGTGTGGGAAGATGGGACTGGAAAGAGAGGGACCTGGAGTCCAAATTGTGGGGACCATGATTTTATTTTATTTTTTGGGTGTGTCACACAGTATGTGGGATCTTAGTTCACTGACCAGGAACTGAACCCGAGCGCCCTGCGGTGGAAGCGCAGCGTCTTAACCACTGGACCACCAGGGAAGTCCCTGGGGACCTTGACTTTGAATCTTATTCCGTAGCTAGGGGAGCCATTGAAGGTTATTAAGAGACTAATATGGTCATAAAAAAATAGCAATTACTATGTGCCAAGCACTGTGCAAAATATGTATCTTTCAAATAAATTCATATAATCCTATTAGAAAAATTATTATTATCCTCATTTTACAGGTGAGAAAACTGAAACACAGAGAGGTTCAGTAGCTCACTCTAGGTCACCCAGCTGCTAAGTAGAAGAGCCAGGATTCAAACTCAGACCATCTGACTCCAGGGCTTACCTGCCTGCCCACCTTGCTATACTGCCTCAGTTGATAATGCTAGAAAGGGACATTAGAAAGAAACAGAATTCCCCTTGTTTAATAATTTATCCATTCAACAAACATTTGCTGAATGCCTAGCATTGTGCTGAGGGTCAGAAGCCATTCATTCATTTACCAAATCCTTATTGAGTTGTAAGAAGCACAAGGCCCTGCTCTAGGTGCTGAGGGTACAGCTCTGAACAAAACCAAGTTCTTGCCCATGTGGAGCTTACATTGAAGTGAATGACTGTGATAAGGATTTTGCTCTCAAGGACGCAAATATTATGTGACACAAGTTAGAATAGGACAGAAGATTAGAATCAGAGTAGACTATTTTAGTAACAGTTCGCAGTGGAAAAGAGCTTTCCTAGATCTAACTGCTATGAAACACACAGTGGTCTTTTCGTGATAGCTCCCTTTACATACCAATGACTTATCTATTCAGCCAACTTTTTTGAGCAGTTGACGTATACTAGATAACATGCTTGCCACTGAGAATGAAAAAGAGGAATCAGACGTGATCGTTAGCTGCTCTGGTGGCTCCCTTGGTTTAGCTGGGAGTCAGATACCCACAGCCTTCTTTACAAGGCAGGGTGACGAGTGACACAGTGGCATTCACAGAGAGGTTATAGGCTATGGAGGCACTGTCACGTACACTTATCTAATTTGGTCCCCCCAATCTCTGGAAGTAGGTTGTGAAAGGGACTACTGTAAGGTCCTGCAGATGAGCATGTTGAGGCCCTGGGAGGTGAGACGGCCTCTTCAAGGTTATCAGCCAGTGGAGGTGCTGGGACGTACATCCCTGAGGCCTGATCCCCTGTGCGTTATTAGTGAGATTTTTTAAACACCTTACCAGCCCAGAGACTGATTTCTTTTAGGCACAGGCCCAATTTACCTTGTGTCTGTGGGCATCCCATGCGGTGGTGACTCCCTAGGAAAGCCTCTGGTCCTCTCCCGGTCCCTCAAGTCCTGGATCTGGTGTTTCCCTGAGCTGGGGGGCCCATCACGGTTGCATTTCTTCCAGCTTCGGAAGCTACCTCGCCCAAGGTGACTGGGCCTTCCTGAGAAATTGTGCCTCCTCCTCCAGTTCCCCTCAGGCCTCCTTCTTCTCCGGAAGACACCTCCCCCTCTGCCTGGGCTCTTGACTGTCACTCGCCTTCCCCTCGCCCCGTGCTCACTGCCGGCTGGGTGTGCAGTTGAGATCTGACCCCTTGGCGTTTACAGTCATTGTAGCTGCGTTCATCCCTGTTTGCGTCTATTTACCTAGGTCCTCCTGTGTAATTCGAGTCACAGAATAACCCACCTCATGATATATTCTAAGATAAGCTTCTCAGGGCTGACTTTTTTTCCCTCTGCGGCAATTTGTGTCATGAAGACCTGTTATAAAACTTCGGGGGCTTTCTCACGCATCTATGAGATTCGTGCTTTGCTGCCTATTCCCGGAGAGGATGAGAGAGGACGAGGAGGTGATTATAGCTGCGGCCGTGGAGGAGGGGTGTAGATCCTGGTACTGAACTAGCTGAGCGGCCTTCACCTCTGACCCACTCTGCAGCCCAGAGAAGTGAACACACCCTGCCATTCACGACATATCTCGGGCTTTCATCTGTTCGTTCAGGAATGATTTATTGCACGCTGATTTTGGACTAGGCAAGTACCTGCCCTCCCTGACCTCCAGACCTGGGGACTTGGTTGTATCTGCAACTTTGGAAGCCTATAAGCTCCTCTCCCCGCCGCTTCACAGCTGCCCTTGCTTCCCAACACCCCGACTCCCTGACCTCTCTCCA